GGACGTTGTGGAGGAGGAATTACAAATGGCTTTAGGAGACGAAGATATTGAATCAATGTCTTCCTTCTCGGAACTGTTAATTTTCCTCTTCTTAGAAGATGTTAAGCTACAGTCGTTGTGAACATCAGAAGCAGCCGGTCTGGGCTCTTGGGCTGGCGGTGGGGGATTAGGGGAAGGTAAACCTGTTGGAAACATGAAAAAATAAATACCAAATCAAATCGCTAATCTACTAATGCTACGATCCCGGGTGTGGACGCTTTATATTCCTCGGTCTCGGTCGGGGGACGTGCAACCTCGCGGCTCCGAGTATAAATAAGGAGAAAAGGAGGATAAATTGAGAAGTGCAGCCCCACTTGGACCCTTCTCTGTTCTTGTTATTGCCAGCAGAGGAAAGATGGTTGAATACTGCTTCCTCTCGCTCGCGCGCACTCCGGCGCGCTGCACAAAGTCCGTTGGATTACAAACTGTTTTTCTCCGAGGGCTGTTTGCGTTAAAGCATTCTGCCAGACGCCGTCTTTGCGCTCGGGAGATAGACTAGTATTTTAGGTTTGAGGAAAAGTCCGCGGGGAAATAGTAACTTTTCTAAGAGGCGACGCTGACCCGCCGGAAGTACTTCCCACCGTTGCGCAGCTGCTGTTGAGGCGCGTTGGTTAAGCGCGAGGCCTGACGTTTCCGGTCTTCTCCATCAGGGGGCGACAATACATCATGCGCAGAGCAGTCTCAAAACTCTTGAAAACACTTGCACTCTGTACTATCTTAAATAAGAATAGTGTTTGTGAATTACACCATCCAAGCTAAAATTTCAATATCATTACATTTTTTTAAAATGTTGTGGCCAACTATATTATGTTTATTTTTACTAAAAGGCTTTAAAAATGTTATTCATAAATGTCAAGTTGTCACATTTTAATGGGGCAGGATGTCAGATGTTTTTTAAGTCATTTAATACAATTAACAATTACAATTTCTGTTATGTTTTTTTGTACGTAAACTGCATTTGTCTGCCTTATGATTGTTTTGTGATTCAAATTTTTTTTAGTTTAGCTAGAAAATATGTGTATTAAATGCTGTATAATGACAAAATATTCCCACTATTGGGTCACAAAATGTCAGCGTGTGTTCAATTAACATTATCTTTTTTCATGGGCTATAGTGAAAATGTTGAACAGCTTTTTTGCCAAGTCCCTTGAATTATGTTATGGGTCAGTTTGACCCATGTACATTTTGTTGTTGAAAATGGTTATGATACTGAAAAATTGTTGCAGTACTGTTTATAATATTCACAGTTTATAATTTTCAATGTAAGTATAAATGTTAAAATTTTGCTGTTTTTAACAGATTTTTAGTTTTGGTTAGTCTGATTTTTGGTGAATTGTATTGAAACCAATTAGGGTCAACTGATTAGCAGAAATTTAAACATTAAAAATTAATGACATGAATAAGAAAAAAGCATGATAACTATAGCCTCGGAATGTCTTTTGGATAGAGGACTTAACTAATACTACATTTTCACACATAAAATAGCAATATTTATATAAATATGTCAACTTTGAAATCCCTAAGCATAAGTTATTTTAAAATAAAATATGCTAACCAAACCCTTTAAATCTGACTGTAGAAAATCAGCACCTACAAGGATGTTTTTGTATTAATAATGAAAAAAATATATGATCTGATCAACAGTGGTTTTATAATAGTTTCTGTGATCAGATCATAGATGTATTTTTATAACATTAAAACCTTAAATCTTTTACTTAGTCTGTATGTTAGCTTTTAGTAAACCAATGGTGTACTTATTGCGCTCTGAAACGGTAATAAAACATGTCTGTAGCTGATTTAATTACACACAGGTTTGGCAAATGAACAGTGTTGTAAACTCGACGTAAGGCTAATGTGCAGCAGGAGGAGGAGAGTGTGGTCCAGTCATATGACTTATATGAGCGCAGGTTTGAGGCTGATTTCACAGCGCTGCTGAACCGGGTCACACTCGGTCCGGGCGTCACTTACCGTCTGTCTGCTCAGAGGAACCGTCCACCCGTCGCAATGGCTGTCCACGGTTGTGTGACCCTGCTCTTTATTCTACTGAGTGGTACGTACGAGTGTGGTGTCGCGTTACAAAAGCAGATATTGAGTTTATTTTGGGGAGATTATCGCAGGCCCACAGGAGCGCGAGAGCCTGTTAGCATTAGCCTGAATTCTTACCTACGCCAGTAGAAGCGCGTTAGATAATCAGAGAAGACTGTCAGCTTGAGGGATAAATATGTACCATCCTTGCATTGTTTTAAACCCATTAATGTAATCATGTGATGGGTTTGTGTGTGAAGTACCAGGTTAATGATTTCATCAAACTACAGGACAGGGGACAGTCACCCAGCGTGATGATCTAAAGGCTGGAATTCATTACACAACATTTTAAAGTCTGAATGGTTTCTAAACGCTAGCCATCATACACTTGATGACTTTGCAAATGGTTACAGAGAAAAACCGGGTGTTGCACACTAAATGACTGAGGATCACGCACTACCTGATTTTTACTAACGTGCCGTATTAATATTTACTAACACTCACTTTAACATTTTAATTACTTTTTAAATTAAACATTTTTTCAGCGGAAAAAAAAATAGGAAGTTGTGCCATAGATTTTTCTCACTTTGTCAGATTTAACTTCACAAGCATGTGATCCTGAAGTGCTTGTTCAGTGTGTTTTTCTCAGCCACCCTCATTCGTAATCATGTGATGGGTTTGTGTGTGAAGTACCAGGTTAATGATTTCATCAAACTACAGGACAGGGGACAGTCACCCAGCGTGATGATCTAAAGGCTGGAATTGTGCCTGCCTGTGATGAGGAGATCGTGAATAAAAACATTAATATTAGTCGAATTTAAAATAAACATTTGCATTTGAATGCAAAAATGGTACAATCGAATGTTAGGAGTGCGTCAGGGAGCGTCATCAGTGGTGCGCGAGATGCGGTGATGATGAGGTAAGTGACGTTGCATTTTAATGTTTTGTTAGTCTAGCCCACGAGACGCGCCGCTGCTGTGTATTCGTTCAAAATATTAGAGAAATATAGCAGCTCAATGCATAGAAGATCTGGATTAGGTTAAACCCGAAACCAAGCCATTCACACAGAACGCATATTTAGCACATTTTTAGACGGACAAATATGACTGCTGCACTCGCGTCTCATGCAAGAGATGCAAAGAAAGTCATGCAAAGTTAAAACACTAGAAAACACTAAGCGAATTTGTGAAGGTTTATTTCATTTCACTGCGTCTCGTTTGTTTTTAAATGCAGTCTGTGTGATCGGCGATTTGGCTCTTTGTATTAGGCTAAGCAATGCATAAACGCATGATGCTGTTTTGGTCATAATTGTTTATGCAGTTTACAAAATTATATTTGTTTTATATATGTTAATTTAGACTTTATGCACGTTTTTATAGACCGTTATTTGAATTGACCGTTTAATGCGCTGCATTTTGCTCATTGCGCCCTCCTGTGGCCTCGGGGAAACAAGTCAAAAGCTTCCTTAAGACTTATTTAATCTGCATATAAAACATAAGAAAGGAGATATTTGTTTAAATTTTATTTTGTGTTTGACTTTAAAAAAAAATAATATATGCCTGTATATTTGTTGTTTGTCTTAATGAAGTGGGCAAATAAAAAATACAACGGTTAAAAAAAAAAATTTCTATTGCTCTGTTTTAAAAAAGGTTATAAAAATGTCAATAATTATCGATACCGAACGATATGAAATGTATGTCGTTGATATATTTTTTTAGTTATATCGCCCAGCCCTATTTAAGTCATTTTAAAGCCACACACTCAAGCGGAAACTTGAACCTTGAGATGCATGATAAATGAAAGCAATGTGTTCTAAAATTGGTTCAAAATATTAAACGCGTGTTTTATCCTCCAACTGGATGGAATCATATTATGAAGCTAAAAAGTCTGTGCCCATCACACAGTATGTGATTTTCTGTGAAATCTATTAACTGAATGCCCAAAGTTTGTGGATTGGCTTTGACTTCTGGCAACTAGCATTAACTCCTGAAAATCTGGTTTTGAACAAAAAAAATGTGTGCTGTATTCCAGCCCTTAAATCAGTTAGGTCTTAGACAAGAGCAAATACAATGCAATATTTTGGATATGTTAGTTTACCGCCAGTCAGTCAGGAAGGAAGGTACTGGAATGTGCTTGGATTGCTGTTTTTATTTCCTTACGCATAGAGGTAGTTGAAAGGCTGTGGTGTGCCCAAGTAGTCTTTCACTTTTGATATAATGCTGAACCAAGTACCCGTTATGTTTTTAAGTGTTTAGTGATTTAGCATTTGTATTATAAGCATTTAGCTAAATCTGATTTTGGAAGGTTGAAAAAGCAGGCTTGTTTATTCTCAGTGTCACATGGGAAACCCCACGATAATGTGAAGGATAAGGAAATAACATTGTGCTTCCACCCTGTGCAGGTATTGTGCATGCTGAAGATCTGGTGACATCGTCATTACCTGCAACACAGGAGTTCAGTACAAGCAAAATCCTCTCCGGCAGTTCTTCTCCAACCACCTCCAAACACTCTTCGGCTGCCATTTCTACTGCTGTGACTACAGGTCCAACCACGCATCACACCACCACTAAATATACTACAGAACCTACAACTACCCCTCATTTCACCACAACTAAATCTACTACAGAACCTACAACTACCCCTCATTTCACCACAACTAAATCTACTACAGAACCTACAACTACCCCTCATCACACCACAACTAAATCTACTACTGAACCTCCAACTACCATGCATCACAACACAACGAATTCCACCACAGAAGCGCCAACTACCATGCATCACAACACAACGAATTCCACCACAGAAGCGCCAACTACCATGCATCACAACACAACGAATTCCACCACAGAAGCGCCAACTACCATGCATCACAACACAACGAATTCCACCACAGAAGCGCCAACTACCACGCACTCTAATGCTACAACAGCTCCAACTCCTCCTCCGACCACTCCTCCTGTGCCCAACCCAACTGTTGGAAACTACAGTGTCAAGTCAGATAATGTCACAGTCTGTCTTTTGGCAAAGATGGGCCTTCAGTTTAGTTTCAAAATGAGTGAGGTAGGTACAAAATGTCTGTGCAGAGGAACACAAGAATTTAAATTTGTGATGCTTTAATGGAAATTTGTTGTGAAAAGCTATTACACACCACAACTAAATCCACTACAGAAGCTCCAACTACCATGCATCACAACACAACGAATTCCACCACAGAAGCGCCAACTACCATGCATCACAACACAACGAATTCCACCACAGAAGCGCCAACTACCACGCACTCTAATGCTACAACAGCTCCAACTCCTCCTCCGACCACTCCTCCTGTGCCCAACCCAACTGTTGGAAACTACAGTGTCAAGTCAGATAATGTCACAGTCTGTCTTTTGGCAAAGATGGGCCTTCAGTTTAGTTTCAAAATGAGTGAGGTAGGTACAAAATGTCTGTGCAGAGGAACACAAGAATTTAAATTTGTGATGCTTTAATGGAAATTTGTTGTGAAAAGCTATTACTCCACTGCAAGTCTTTTGTCATGTTCTTGTTTAGAATTCCAGCTTTCAGACTCTTAATTTTGACCCAAGTGCTAATGTAACAGAAGTGAGTGGAACCTGTGGAAGTGGTGGCAATGACTCTTCCCTTCTGCTGAAGTCAGATGAAATCACAGTTCATTTTGTCTTCACAAATGTAAGTCTTTAAAGAAGAGTCAAATATACTGGCGACTAAAGTCCACTGAGACAAAGGGGGTGGTAGATGTTCTTGATTGGGTTTTTGGCCATCTGTTGTCAGCTCTTAAATGTTGTTGGTTTTTTTTGTTTTGTTTTTTTTATGAATTGTACAGTTTCTTTCATATGATCTGCTTATGACCAACTTGGGGTTAGTTTTAGGAGTGCCGTATTTAATTTGACAGTAATGAAAACAAGGCTGTGATGGATAGAAGTATGGTGCGTTCAGTGGATTGTATTGTAGCTGAATAACATACCGATTGTTCAGCTGACAACAAGTAGACAAAAACATAACTCATCATAATCATCATAGAAATTATGATTTTGAAGCTTTATACAGTGCATGTCATTGTAAAGACTGGAAGTCTATTCCTCACAGCCTTGTTTTCAAATGTGTTGAATTCAATATTGCGTCTAACCCGATTAAGGTCGATGGGGTTAGAATTGAACCATCATGCTTGTTCGTTTTTCTCAAAAATGTCTGTTTTTGTACATATTCATGCAAAACTGCCAGTTCATAAAGTAATCACATTCTCTCATGAAATCAGGTTGCATCTGACTTTTCTTTTCTTTTTTTTTCTTTTTTTATACAGGTTTCACAGAAGTTCCGTCTACATGCTTTGACGCTCTCTGTTAATCTTGAAAATGGTAAGGCATATTTAATGTGAAAATTAAATGCATAATCTTATTCTCATTGTTATTCTCATCTAAAGACAATAATAAGCCAACATTAAAATTCTATACTCTTTTGTCTAAACTTAAATCTCTGAAAACTAAAATCAATCATTTTTAAATTCTACAAGTGAATTTAGCCATCACAATTAATATTAAAAAGATACTCATTTTGAGTTTTGCTAAAGATTTCATTTAACAGTATTAAATTATTAGATTTGGTTTTTTTTTAGATTAACAGAAAGTGTGATCTAATATTGACTGATTAAAAAATAAAAAAATGTAAATGAATAAAAATCATAATATCAGCCATGACCAGTGTGGTACCAATATATTGTGCATCCCTAATGGTGTCGTATCTCTTGTCATGTAATCATATTCTGTCCTCTGATTGGTGTTACCTCAACAGGAAACGTTTTCAATGCCTCCAATAATAATCTGTCTCTGTGGGAGGCATCTGTCGGAAGCTCCTACATGTGCAGAAAAGAGCAGAGTTACAACATCACTGACAAGCTTACCCTCAACACGTTCCAGTTGCAAGTGCAGCCCTTTGCAGTCCAGAACAACAAGTTTAACACGGGTATGTATTCGTTTGTGATGCTTAACAATAAAGCTGAGATAATTGTCTCATCAGAGGTAATTATACAACATGTGTAACTCATAACTGGACTCTGTCCTTTAGTTCTGTCATTTATCAGCTACTTTTCTACTCTCACTACAGCTCAAGAAGCATTGCTATTCAGAGTGGTGTGAAAAGCCACTTTGCTTTCCAGCACTTTAGTATTAATTTAGAAACTTGGGCACTGCTCACATTAGGGCTGGGCGATATGACGATATATATCGGATGGACGAAATTAAAAGTCTATAGTTTATTTCGTGGTGCTGCAAAACATTGTTTACGGCAATACCTTTTCATCATTTGAATGACTGCAGTCTTACATGCATTACACGGGGATGCAGGTAGAAACGTGAATAACAGCATGCGTGCTCACGTTGCTGTGCGTGTGGTCACGAAAATTTCATGTTTGCGCACGTTTTTAGGCACTGCAGTTTAATACAACAAATAATCATTTTGGGCCGTTGAAACGCAAACAACAGCTAAATGCGCGCGCTGTCTCTGTTTCTGTGTGGTGTACTCACACTAGGTACGGTTGCCTTGAACCGAGCCTGAGCGCGAAAAGTGTAGTGTAGTAATAGAATATGTTTGCGGTCGTAATGATGACGGTAGTGCACACAAAATAGTATCTGTTCCGTGCTCCGTCGCGGTTAGCGCTCGCACTGCATGTGTACCGAGCCCAACCGAACCGTGCCCTGGCCCACCTCTTTCAAACTGGGCCAGGGCCGGCACGGAGCGCTCTCACTAGTCAAACGAACCGAGCTTTGGGGGTCAAACGCGCTCGGGCACGGTTCAAAACGCCTAGTGTGAGTAACGTACACTCTCAGAAGTGCGCAAGCCGCGCATCAGCAGCTAATAGAGCTCGTGAGCATTTTTGCCACCTTTATTGGCTTTGAACGATTGCATAAACGCTTATGCGTCCAAATGCCCGGCTTTGCAAGTATCCTCATAAACACAGTCATTAAGGGAACGTAAACAGTTGCGAGAGAGTGCATGTGTAACAGTATATTGGATCCGGACTTCTGTCTTAAAGGGGAAGCTGTCCAATATTCGTCCTGTCTGCCATTCATGTTAATCAAACAATAGCGAGAGAGAATCTCTCACTGCTCTTGACTAAATCCCTTTTGTAACTAGAATAAGAAGAACATAAATAAATAATGATAATGCTAATAATTATGCCTATATATATATAATATATTAGATATAGAACTTACACAGTGAAGACTAATTAATTTACACAATGTATTTATTGTAGTTTTTGTCCTATTGCTTGTAATTAGTTTCTTCTTATTTCATCATCGACTGTTATTTATGTCCTGTGAGCTTGTTTTTTTTTGTTTTTTTATTATATTAATTATTTTTTTCTTGTATTAGTTTGATATCGACATTGGTGACAAGGATTATGAAAATTCTATGGTATCAAAGATTTTAATATCATAACCTTATTAAAAGGAAAAATAACTATATCGTGATACATCGTTATCATTATATAAAATTACTCCTATCGTGATACAAGATTTTGGTCATATCGCCCACCCCTAGCTCACATGCACAACTAAATCTGATAAGCCCATGGTTTCCTGTGGTCATATCATATGTGACTTGCTGCACCAAGATCATTGAAAGTATGTACAAAGATGTAGGCCTATATGCAAAATAGAATTACTTGACAAACACACAAGGTTGAATGACAGAAGTCTAAAATTTCCTGCCAAACTGATCCTGACAGCTCCGAGTTCAAATTACTATTGTAGTCTTAATGCAAGGCAAGAACATGATGTTTGAATATTTATATTTTTGGCAACACTTCATAATAAATATACATTTGTTAACTAAAGTAGTCATCTAATGTTAACATGAACTAACAATGAAAAATACTTTTATAGCATTTCTTATTGCTTTGTTGAAATTAACAATTTAAATATGTTAATATTACTGAATGGACCTGAGATACTATAAACTGATAATCAGTTGTCTTTTTATTAACTAATGTTAACACAGATGAATAATTCTGTAAAGGCTTATAGAAATGGCCCGGTTTGACCAGATTAAGTGTCTGTGATTTATTAGGTCTTTGAGAATATCTGCAGTGGTGTTGATGAGAAGATAGCAGCTTCATCTTACGTTCGTTCATGTTCTCTTTGTCTGCAGCCCATGAATGTTCAATGGATGACACCAGCCTCTTAATCCCAATCATTGTTGGTGCCGCTCTGGCTGGTTTGATTGTCATTGTTATGATTGCATACGTGATTGGTCGACGAAGGACCTATGTTGGATATCAAACACTGTAATGCAACAAAATCACAGAATCGAATCCTGGGTGTTTTAAGGGACACACAAGCCTGTTCCTGGACCATTGTAAATATTGTGGGTTTTTGTGCAATCTCAATTGGCAACTGACTCATGGCCACAGGAGTCAACAAATGTTTTGTTCTAATGTGGTCAGTTAATCCACCAGCTCTTAAACCGCAATATATTGAAAATCTAAAGATACAGTGGCACTCCAGGGCCAGAGCTTCCTATTGTGAACTAAGTTTGTGTGTGTGCACCACGGTCCCCCCCCCCCCC